TCCTCTTCATCCCCCTTTGCCAAGGGTCATGCTCCAAGTATGTTGGACAAAAGGTATATTGAAAGGCTAAGAGGATTGGGAATCTTCAGCCTGGAAAGGGAATTGGGAATTGTTCAGCCTGGAGAAGAGAAGGCTTTGGGGTCACCTCATTGTGGCCTTGCAGTGCCTGAAGGGAGCCCACAGGAAAGATGGAGAGAGACTCTTGACAAGGGCCTGGAGTGACAGGACAAGGGGGCAATGGCTTCACACTGACAGAGAGCAGGTTTAGATTGGATATGAGGAAGAAATTGTTCCCTGTGAGGGTGGTGAGGCCCTGACACACTGAGATATGTCAGGCATAGGATAGGACATCCTTGGGAATTCTTGTGTTTTCCACTGTCAGGCAACCACTAAGTAGAGATCTCTGATGTAAAGCAGCTGGAGTTTAAAGGGGTAAAAATGCCACCAAGGCTGCTAAATAAAAACCAGACTGTTTTGTTTTCCTTTAAATATTAAAGAGAAACAGACAGCTTAATTTTATACAGATACAGAGAGAATGAGTTTATACCAGTTTCAGTGGTTTTACTTTGTTCAGCTGTTTTCAGTTCCTCTTTCACACAAAAATAAAATATATGTTGCACAAAATATGTCACAATGTTTGTCTAAAAATGGGTAAAGTTTGGAAGGAGTGAGGTAGCCAGCTTTCCTTATGGTCATGAGCTGGTTGCAAAATGATTCTTGTTAAAACCACTTTTAAAATCTTTCTTGGTTTGTGACCCAGACAGGGACCTTTTGGCTGTGAATTACTGCAGGAAAAAAATAGAAGAAACACTTGTTCTTATTTGTTTAATAATGATTTCTAAAAAGTGATTTGGTGTAAACCCAAAGCATTTAATTTCTCCTAAAAGAACATCCTGAAAGGAAAAATTGAAATGTTTGATTTCAAAAGTATTAAATATTCCATTATTTTCAGAAAATATATTTAATGTTAACAATGATTTTTTTCCTCCTTGGTAGCAGAAACTCTTTGTTTATATTAGAAAATAATTTTGGTCCCAAAAAAGTTACAGGTTTTTTCAAATCTTTTACATATCAGAAAATATCTCCCAATTATTATAGGTCTGGATACAGTAAGCAAGCACATTAAATCCAGAAAAATCCACATTTGCTCAGCTGTCAAGCACATCCACTGAACCCAAGGAACAGATAGCTTGAGGGAAAGATATCCTAGTTACTGTAAGTGGAATTTTAGTGAGGTTTTCTATTTGAAATCTTCCTTCTAAACCTTTCTCTCTCACATCCTTAGTTTTTATTTTAATTTTCCTTTTTACTACAACCAAATAAAAGTCATTATCTGAGAATCATCAAGTGGTGAAAAACCAGCCCAGAAGGCTTGCTTTCCCAAAGGAGGGTTGTTTTTCCAAGTGTTTACTGCATTCTTCATTCATAATGTATATTTTATTTTAAATATTTTATCTACTTCAGAATAGATGATTTGCAGATTACTTATCTTTGAATTTGGATCTTGTAGTGAAATCTTTACCAGATCTGTTTTCTTGATGAGGTACAGAGACACATAGGACTCAACTGACCCCAGAAGATTCTTCACTTCTGACCTGAGGCTGCACAATGTAAGTATTGGACAAGAGCCTGGTATGTTAAAAATCTCTCTTTCTTCTTTCTTGGTCATGGGCACAGTGAGTTTGGGATTGTAGAGGCCAAAAGATGGACATGACTCATCTTGGAAAAATGGGAATAGAGCTGGCAAGAGTAGGAGTGAAGTGGGAGTGTGAGGGCTTCTCTGTTAGGAAAATGCTGTCAGATGTTGCCCATATCCTTAGCTAGTGTTTAGGAAGTCAAATTCATTAGGTGCTAAGGAATTGCAGCAGAATGATTAACACAGACATCTCATTATTAACACAGACATGCAGGGCCATTGTCCCACCCATACAGACCCACAGAAAAATATCTTTAAATTACTGAAGATATTTACTCATCATAGTTTTGTGGGAAATACACAATACCACAGAGAAAAAATAAGTATACATTTAAATGCTGAAAAGTGTGGCTAAGTGCTCAGAAATACAATACAAACTACCCTGTGTGCTATCTCCAGTATTAAGTTATGCAGCATCTCAGTATCACATAAAAGGATTTACAAGGGGAGCTGGATCCCTGTTTTAACTTCTCCCCTATGGTATTTGCACCATCTTTGTCAAATGGAGTTCAAAAGCATCAACTCAGTGGGGTATTGCACCTTCCTTCTTCAAACAGCACCAGCCCACACAGTCAGCACTCCCTCAAGATGCAGCAGAACCTGCTGATGAGCGTAGGCAATATTCCACAGGAAAGAGGGGCACTATTTTTATGGCAAAATTTGTGGGATTGGTGCTATCATGTGCTTCTCACTCCAGAAAACCAGCAATAAAAATCAAAAAAGTTGATCGAACTCAATGGATGTTTCCTACACTCAGTCCATGTTACAACTGTCAAATTAGCAATGCAGTTCCCTAATAGAAAGGAAAAATCTGAATGAAAAAAGGAATTAACACTTGGTGGAGCTGAAAAATCACAGAATACTTTGGGTTTCCCTGAGAAGCTGTGGCTGTCCCATACCTGGAAGTGTCCAAGGCCAGGTTGCATGGGGCTCTGAGCAACCTGGGACAGTGGAAGGTGTCCCTGCCCATCGCAAGGGTTCAGAACAAGATGATCTTTAAGATTCTCTCCAACCCATTCCACATTGTGGGGATGTGGAATGGCTTCCTGACTTTGTTGTGACAGTAGCCCATCCTTTATATTCTTAAACAAACAAGCTGACATTAATAATTTCTAGTTTCATTCCCCTATTGGATTTCCCCCAAAAGGCTTAACAAGGGCTCAAGGGGTAACCAAGGGAATTGTCTGTGATTGTGTACTTCTCTAACTAGGCCAGATGTGGCCTTATCCAGTTTCTGGATATGGAAAGGTAAACACATGTTTTGCCAATAAACAAACACATACAATTAATTTAACTATATTTCATTAATTAAATGTTATGTTATTATATTAATATTATTTATTAACAATAGCTCATTAATGATTGAATATATATATATAACATTTAGCTGGAAGGTTCATCTAGAGGCAACTTTGTCTCAGGGCCTGTTGTTCAGGCCTCAGTCAGAGTCTGTTGTTTAGGCCTCATTATTTTGGCCTGCCACAGAATTTCTGGACACATCTCCCTGTCAGGTCTGAGGGCCACTGCAAACCTTCATTTAACTGCAGTACAAACTTCTGAGTCATCAACCACCACAGAAACCACTTCACTTCCTTTTCTTTCTCTCACACATTTGGTGTTTGCTTGGCTTCTCTGGGCCTGTGATTATGGGACATGAGGCACAGAATACCAGAACACATCCCTGGCTCTTTGAAGAAGCCTCTGCCATGACCACCTGCACCAGAAGGTATTCCAGATCTGATGGCCCTGAGAGAATATATCCATAATAGAAAATTGTCTTTCTGTGGAAGAAATAGGTTCAATCAGAATTGGTATTTATTTTTTTAAAAACCACTCAACTTTTTCCTATAGTTTGTTTTAAATCAGAAAAGCAATGTGTTACGTTTCTATAAAGACAGGAATGCAGTGATCATAGAATCATAGAATGGTTTGGGTTGGAAGGGACCTTAAGATCATCTCATTTCACCTTTCCTGTCATGGGTAGGGACACCTTCCACTGTCCCAGGTTGCTCAGAGCCCCATCCAACATGACCTTGGACACTTCCAGGCATGGGGCAGCCACACTTCTTTGGGGATCTGTGCCAGGGCCTCACCACCCTCACAAAGAACAATTTCTTCCTAATATCCAATTTAAACCCACTCTCTGTCAGCGTGAAGCCATTTCCTCTTGTTGGTCACTCTAGGCCTTGTCAAGAATCTCTTTCCGTCTTTCTTGTAGCTCCCTTCAGGCACTGGAAGGGCACAAAGAGGTCACCCCAGAGCTTTTGTTCTCCAGACTGAAAAATCTCATTCTCTCACTTTCCCTATGGCAGAGGTTCTCTAGCTTCTCAGCACTTTCTTGCCCTCATCAGGACTCTCTCCAACAGTTCCATGTCCTTCCTGTGCTGGGACTCCAGAGAGAAAAGAGGTCACCCCTCAGCCTCCCTTTCTCCAAACGGGACAAACCAAACTGGACCTCAGCTGCTCCTCACAGGACATTCTTTCCAACACTTCCACCAGCTTTCTTCCCTTCCTGTGAGCCTCCAATCAAGAACCTTCACATTGTTCTTAAATTCTAGGGGCCCTGGGCTGGTTTTGGCTGGGATAGAGTTCATTTCCCTCATAGTAACTGGTATGACTACATTTTGCACTTGTACTGGAACAGTGTTGAGACCACAGGGATGCTTTAGTTCTTGCTGAGCAGAGATTAAACAGAGTGAGAGTCCTGTTTGTCATCCCATCCAACCACTGAGGGGGCTGGGGGTGCACAAGGAATTGAGAGGGGACACAGCTGACCCCAACTGCCCAGAGGGATATTACAAACCTAGAAAGCCAAGGGATACTTTTGTTTAGGCCACATTATTCCAGTTGCTGCCTTAAGCACCTTTTGTGCTTCCTAAAACACACCGGACCAATCCCCCTTTCTGATCCCCATTTTTCCTCCAGAATTCCCTTGCAGAGAAGCAGACAATGTCTGTGAGCTGCACAGAGCCCACAGAGCGCAGGACACAGCAGAGCAAAATGTTTTGTGTGTGGGTGGGTGAAGCTTTGAGAACTCAAGATACTTCCAATCCAGAACCACTTCCCAACACAGGTGACCTCAGGGAGGCCATGAACTTGTATTTCCTCATGTTGATGACATAAAACCCTGTGCCATCAAAACATGAAGTAGAAATAGACTCCTCATTAGAAGTTGATGTGTGAACGGAAGAGTCAAGAACTTCCTGCTGAAGGTTTGAGAGGGGAGGGAGCTCTGTGTCGTGCCCAGCCCAGAGTGTCACTGTCACAACAGCCGAGGGAGGAAAAAAGGAGAAGCGGGAAAAAGAATGGCAGAAAATGTCCTTTATGCTGACCTGAACTTGCCTGAATCAACCAGACCCAGAATCCTGACGGTCCCTGATGGCCAAGGTAGGTCCAGTGCTGAGCACTGAGCTTTCTTTGCATTCTCCACTCTCTCTCCCATATCTCTTGAGAGAGTTCCTTGCAGCAGCAAAGCCCCAAAGAGCACAAGGGGAACATGGGGGCCAGGGCTGGAAAACTGCAGGTGCAGTGTCCAGAGAGGGTTGTTGATATTTACAAAGGCAAGTTGTTGGAAGATTGCTTTTCTCTTGCTAAGGTGCAGGTGTGAGGCAGTGTCTCTGGTGTGAGATTAAGAGTCCTTTTATCCATTTTGGAGAGCATTCCAGAGCTGAACATCCATTGCTGCTGGCCCTGGCCTGTTGTCCCCCAGCAGACTGAGATTCCTGCAGCAAACTGCTCAGGATGGAGTGGCTGCTGTTGCTGGTGCTCACAGCAGTCTCCTGCACAGCTGTTCCTGCTCCCTGAGCACAGCAGGCACTGCCTGGGGGCTTCTCCTCCTGCTCTGGCTGTACCAACTGCTTGTTGAATGCACAAGGGTGAAATGTTTCCTGGACAGCTTTAGTCTGATTTGGGATCAAGGACTGCAAAATTCTAACCGAGGATTTATCTTTCTTTAATGAGTTTAAAATGGTTGCATAAATGTTTGCACTGGTTCTGCAACATCTGCCATAAAAGTACATCCTAAAAATTAACAGACTTCATAGAGTGTATTTCTGTATTTCATTTCCATTTTTCTTCCCTTTCTTTCTAACCCTGCTTTCCCTCTGGCAGAAATTATTTCTTGCCATCCAATGCTTGTCTTTTGCACAAAGTCTGAACCCTTTGCATGTCTTTTCAGATGTGTGGAGATACTAACAGCCCAGGAAACAGGGTTTTACCACCACTTTCAACTGATGAATGCAGGGCTCAATTGACCACAATTGATGCCACTGATTACAAGTTCCATTTTCCTTAGAATTTAAGCCACGTGTTCCTATTCAGAATTTTGATAGATTTCTAGTAACATTTGGGTGTTTCTCTGCTTGTGCCTTTCAGGGAAACCCCTACCAACTCTTCTATGTGTTCACTGAAATTATGCACAAGATTTCACAGATATTGTCTCCATCTTCTGAAAAGAGCTCAAATCCCTGGCTTCTGTCTTAGCTTTGTACAGTGATAGAACCCAGGGTGTTCAGTGTTGTATATCACAATGACTTGGAGAGCTTTATAACACAGCAATGTCCTATTTTTGACTTTTTACCCACTTTTTATCTCCCTCTGACCTTTCTTTCCTCTCCATATGTTTTCTTCCCTGCTGCTCTGTATTTATTACCTGCAGATGATGGAACAGATTTCACTACTCTCCCTGTTATCTGGGTTATTTAGATAAACACTCAAACCCCTCCAAATTTAGCACAATCTGCAGTTTTCAGGCTTTAATGTTTTAGTCATGCTCACCATTCCTGTCAGGATGAACAACCTTGGGCCACCCTTGGCACTTTCCTCCCCTTTTGTCAAGATTGGCAATGTGAATATGTACTCCTGTCCCTTTGGTGTTGTCTCCCTTGAAAAGAAATCAGTTCTGTTCCTGCATCTAGCAAGTGCTCCAAGGGTGAAAGAGTCATCCTGAAACATGGAATCAGAATATCCTGAGCTGGAAGGGACCCACAAGGATCATCCAGTCCAACTTCTGGCCCTGCACAGATATCCCAATAATCCCACCCTGTGCATCCCTGAGAGTGTTTTCCAAATGCTGCTTGAGCTCTGGCTGGCTTGGGGCCGTTCCCTGTGGAGCCTGTTCAGTGCCCCAGCACCCTCTGGGGGAAGAACCTTTCCCTGATATCCACCCTGTCCCTGTTCTGACACAGCTCCAGCTGTTCCCTTGGGTCCTGTCCCTGGTCACACAGAGCAGAGATCAGTGCCTATAATGGAGAAAAACATAATTTGTGCATAGTTAACCACAGTCACAGCAACTAGTTGCTGTCCTGTGTTCAGCATTTCTCACAATTTCAGTCATTTTTATTTCATTTAAGTTGATTCTCAGCTCTCTCTGTGCTCTGTTCTTGTTCCCTCAGGTTGTACCTATGCAGAAGTGAAAGTGAAGTCCCAAGACACAAAGGCTGCAGCAAACTGCAAATCATCAGGTGAGTTTAGCTGTCTGATAAAGTGATAAGAATTTAAACAAGAAGAGCAGAGGGGATCCTGATGTCCCAAACATGCAGTGACACAAAACCATGAGGGGGCAGGAGGATACAATTGTCTGCTTTCCACACTCAGCGCAGGAGCAGCTGAGGTGTTGCATTCTGTGCCCCTAAACACTTGTTGGCTTTCCTGGAAAAGGAATAGAAGGATATGTTGGGCCACACCCAGACCCCCCGAGCCCAGGCTCCTGTCTCCAGCAGCAGGGAAAGTGAACAAAGGAGAGGAGGAAGCAGAGGGAGGGGGCATTGATTGCAAGGACTCTCCTCCTTTTCCCCTCTCCTCAAACCCATGGCAGGCTGGGATCTGCTCAGTTCCCTGAGCACAGGGGTCCAGAGCCAGAGGGGAAGCACCAGGACATTCAGCCTGGCTCCAGCCTGCAGATCTGGAAGGCCTCAGATTCCCAGTGGGAGCCTGAAAGGGCATCTTGGAATGCAGGGGAAAGGAGCTTTTGTCCAGCTGTGCAAAACAACATCCAGCTGTTCCCCTAATCTTTATTTTTCTGTCCCTCTGTAGGTAAAAGCTGTTGTTCCAGAAAACATGTTGCTATATTGGTGGTGATAATCCTCATACTGGTCCTGGCAGTATATTTAATAATTACATGTAAGTTCTTTTGTTAATGTCATAACAGGCATTTATTTGTGTCTCTTTCCCACTGACTGAGGTCCAGGCCATGACATACAAAGCCTGTAGGAACAGAAGTTTGGTTTGAAGGCAAAGGACAGCAGTTTTTAGCCAAGCATGGCTGTAAGAGGAGATGTGCAAGAGAATCAAGTGGTTTTGAAAGTTTAAAATTCCAACAGATAAAAAAGCCAAAATCCCAATGAAAAACTCACAACATTCAAATGACAAAGAATTTATTATACAAATGTTTTGAAGAAAAAAGTTAAGATTTGATAATGCCAACCAGTAATACAATTGCTACCTGTGAGAATCCCGCAAGGTCATGAGGTTTTATCATGAGACCAAGATGTCCAAAACACAAAAAATCATAAAATAATTATGAATTAAAGTTCATATGAAGGAGGCAACTAAATCACATCTTACAGGAGTTTCCTTAAGATCATAACATATTTTGAGCTAAATAAAAAGACAAATTATATTTTGTAGAAAAAAAGTTTGCTTCTATCAGAAAAAAAATGAATAGACCCAATTGGTATTTCTTCTAAAAGTTTTCAAAGAACCATTTTAAAATTTCAGATGGCTTTACTTATTTCTTTCCATCCTTTGGTAGCTGAGAATGCTCGAGAAGCTTCCACAACCAATCATTCTCAAGTCCCAGACTTTGCCACCTGCTCAGAGATGCACATGGGGAAGTCATGGCAAAGCCTTTGATCCTTGGAACTTAAAAAACAGGGCTGGAGGAGGCAATTCATTCTTTTTTTCAGGGCAAAGAGTTCAGGATTGATATTTGACAGTGACCTGACATTTGTAAAATGTCAAACAGCAAATGGTGGGGCAAATTAAAAACAAAAACTGAACCAACAGAAAATAAAAAGATGTAATGTAGATTTAACAGAGCTTTAAGTCTAACATTGAAAGAGGAGTCCTTAGACTTAGATCCAGGGCTGGCTTTAGTTATTGTTCCTTTGTGAGGCTCAGTACTGGCTCAGAACAGCTACACACCTGAAAAAAAGTACTCCTAAGAAACTTGAGGTCTAGATCAAACTTGAGAAATTAAATCAAGGTAGTTTTTATGTTCAAGAGCACACAGGTTTCACTTGTTCTCCAAATACAAACTGCTGCATTTTGAGTTTATTCTAAGTTATACTTTTGTATGAATTTTCCATAGGGTCTTGTTATTTACGAATACACTGTTATTAAGATACAACTTGTGTAAATGAACTCAAGTGTTGCCTTTTCCTCAGTGGAACCTGACCTGACCATTTAATGATTTTGGTAGTAGACCCATGAGCAAAGAGGCAAAGTTTGCATTCTGTGTTGGGTGATGGGGGGTCAGAGAGGTCTAGCAGAGCTCTGACAGTGCCTGGCACAGTGGCCAATCCTTGCAAGCAGAAACTGTGTTCTTATTTCCAGATGGTCCAACAGCAGGCAGCCCACAGGACTCCCCAAGAACCATCCCTGAAGAGGCACTAGGTAGGCAATCCTCTGTCATTCCAGAGGGAGTCTCCAGAGGCCTGTGGAATTGACTGTGCAGGGGGCAGGGGAGGGTGTGTGGGACTGGATTTTGTTGAGAAGGGAAACAAAGAAAGAAAGCCTCTCCCATCTCAGGAATACAAACCTGATCCTGGACACTCCCAGGATGAGCTTTGGGAGAGACAGGAAGAACAATCCCTCTGGAAGCTCAGCACTGCAGGGAGCAGGATGGATCATGTGCTTCCACTGCTTTTCCAAGGCCCTCCATTACCAGCCTTTGACCTCAGTGCAATTCCCTGGGGCTGTTTAGAAGCTGCTGAGCAAAGCTGGGAAAGGCTGGATCTGTTTGCTGTGCTGCTCCCTGTCTGGCTCCTGCCTGCTGATTCTGGGCTGCCATCAGCTCCAGAGGCTCTGGGGGATCCCTGGTGCTCTGCTGACAATTCTCAGCAGGAGCACACAGGCATTTCTGGGGCTGGAATGGCCTCTCTGACCTCTCTTTTGTTGTGGCATCCTTTGGTCAGTGTGAACATGGATTTTACACACCTCTTCTTCCCTTCTGCAGGCTGCCCCATACCATGGAAGAAACATGGGAGAAAATGCTACTTCTTTTCTCCAGAGGAGAAACCAAAGGACTGGAATGCCTCCCGTGCAGAATGCAAGGCCATGGGCTCAGACCTGGTGGTCATTGACAGCAGGGAAGAGCTGGTGAGATCCAACTCCTGGGGCAGCGGCTCGGGGGGCTGGAGCTGCCTGGCCAAGGGCTGGGCAGTGACACTTATGCCAGCTCCTGTCACATGTCCTTGGGCTCTGGGACCTGCTGCCAGCCATGGACAGCCCAGGCCTGGCAGTGGGAGCAAAGGCCTGCACAGGGAGAGGCCTCCTGGGCCTTGGAGTCCTGTCCCTGGAAGCTTCTGTGCCCAGCCAAGCCTGCTCCCATGGCAAGGAGCAAACTCCCTGCCCAGCTGGCTGGGCTTTTCCAGGGATTTAGCACACAGGTCATGGAGCTTGAACAGAGACTTCTTTGTAAGAGCCATGGCTGGGACAGAACCTGAAAAGGTTTTGCCAGCTCCATCCAAAGGGAAAAGTGTCCCCAGCTATCAAGTCACACCTGTCTGTCTGCAATGTAAGGGTGCCACAGGGTTACTATTACATTTCTTATCTTCATCAGGGGCCTCCAAAAGGGAGATGATCTTCCATAGAAATGGAGAAATTAATCCTCTGGAGCTGTGGGCAGAGGTGCTGTGGCTGGATGCACACTGCGCTCTCTGTGCTGGCTGTTTAGCCAGGAGCCTTCTGTGCCTCTGCTGAAGAAAATGTCATTTTCATGTACTCCCATTGTTGGCTTCCTTTCCAGGAGTACCTTCGATCACAATCAGGTCATAACTACTACTTACTTGGTCTCACACGCTCTCCAGAGGAGCAGAAGTGGAAGTGGATCAACAACATGGAACATGACACAAACATGTGAGCTCCTTCCAGCAAGTCCCTGCCATGCAGTGTCTGGGAAGAGGAAAATGCCAAAGGCAGAGCAAAGAGCAGAGAGCCCAAGGGTGATCAGGGCCTGTGCTTTGGGGGAAGCTGATTGCTGGAGGTGCAGGTGCTTCAGCACATGGCTGTGCCAAGGAAAGGGAGCCTTGCAGGGCCAGGGAACACAGGGCTGTCCTGTAGGGATGGCAGGAGAGGACACAGCTGGGGTTTGCTGGGGAAGGAAGGATCTGGCTGGATGCAGCTCCCTGGGCAAAGGAAGGGGACAGGAGGCAGGGACAAGAGAGAGAGGGTGATGTCAGTACTATTGGCTGGAGGGGACCAAAGCAGGGGAATGTTTCTGGATGGGAAAGCATTGCCCAAAAACTTTTGTGGAGCTGTGGGGAACAGCAGTGAGGAATGGGTGGGAATTCCAGCATGGCAGTTCCTGGTCCCAGTGACAGTAACACAGCTTAGCAGGTGCCACTCTGCCTTTCACTGCATGTCAGGAATGTAACCAAATTTGGCTTTTTTGCCCTATTCAGGTTCACTATTGTTGGACAGTACCAAGACTATCTCTGCACAGTCATTGGATTTCATGAAGTACAAGCTGCACCTTGTGGTGGAACTGAATCCACAAAAAATATGTGTGAAAAAGCTGCCACAATTTCAAAGATGCATCAGGAGGAGAGCTAAAACCAAGAGGTGCAGGCTGATCTGTGTTCTGCCCAGCTTCCTGTAGGAACCCTGGATGGGATGTGTCTCATTGCTCTTGAATTCCTGCCCAGTCTCTGCTCCCAGGCTCTCCTGCAGCTTCTCTCCAGCCTCGGGGCTGAGCTCAGCCCAACCTTTCCCTGCTGCTGTCTGAGCCTGGATGGGTCCCCTCTGGAAGAGCTGGCCCTGGCACACAGGAGCACTCTGGCACTGCCTCATGCCAGAGGTGGCACTGCCAGGCAGGCACTGCCAGGGGAGAGGAGTCCAGCCTGGGCACAGGGGTGATCCCAACAGATCCTGCCTCTGCAGGTCACATCCATCCACAGCCCTGTGTTCCCAGCCCTGCCTGGGCACAAGGAGACCCTTCCCCACCTGGCCACAGCCTGGCCTTGCCTGCAGCCACAAGGGAAGGGCAGCTCACATTTCTGGCTGGGAGCCTGTAGGGAAGGGCAACCCTACTCCTTGCCAGGATGGACAGGATAAATTCAGGTGTGGGTGTGGATAAACCTTCCCCTGTCCCAGACTGTTCCAAGAGCACACAGGATCCCAGAGCCTGTGAGGGGAATGGGAATCAGCCCAAGGGAAAGGATCCTACAGCAGCACCGCTCTGGGCCTAAAATCAGCCCCAGTCCTGTGTGGGGAAGGCAGGAATGTCAGATTTAAGATCTGCTTCCGAAGGGCACAGGATGGAGACCAGCAGAGAGCAGCAAGGCCTGAAGAAGAGAGTCCCAACAGAAGCTGAGCTGGACAGAAAACAGGACAATGAAACCCACCGTGACCTGTGAAGGAGCTGGTGAGAAGCATGAGAGTGACCCACAGGGAATGGCAACACAGTGCTCTGCCCTCTTTTCCTTGGAGATTGGTCACAGGACAGGCCAGTACTATTGATGTGCTCTGGGTCCCCCCAGAGAGCTCCACTCAGCTACCTGGGCTGACTGCTGGGCCCCTGTACAGTTCCTCTCCTTTCCATTGCATGGAATAAAGCTTTTCTTTTCAAAAGACAAAGCATTGCTTCTGTGTGGGTAGGTGAAGCTTTGGGAACTCCAGACACTTCCAGTCCAGAACCACTTCCCAACACAGGTGACCTCAGGGAAACCATGAACTGTGGTGTTGTAAGGTTCCCCAGATGAGGTGAGAGATGAGAATTTGACTCCATGTTCTCAGAAGGCTGATTTATAATTGTCTTGGTTTGGAAAGACAGGAGTCTGCTAAAGAAGACAGGAGCCTCCCCTGAAATGGAGAATGTAAACCCTCCCCAGCCCTCCGAATTGCAATGAATTTTAAATTAAGGGGCTCTCAGGCAAAAATATGGGAGCAGGAAATAGTTCTTTAATAGGGAAGAAAAACAAATAAAAGGATAAAATAAACAATGCAGTACACTAGAACAACACTGACAGAGTCAGAACCCAACCTGACACCCTGTGGGTCAGGGTCTTGGTAGCAGTCCAATTGGAAATGTGCCTTCAGCCCTCCTGGAGTATCAGGGGTGGTTCTGTTGGAGCAGGGATCCTGTAGAGAAGGATGTATTCTTCCTCCAAAGAAAGAGGCAGCTGCTATTCCTCTGGGGAATCCATGGAGAAAGCCATGCTGGTGTCTCAAAACCTCGGGATTATATCTGGGTAGCAATGCTTGGCTCCTCCCCCTGGGCAGAGCATCTCAGAATGGGATGTTCTAGCTCTTATCAGTCATGCAGTGACATTCAATAGCCTGTTATCAACAGATGTCCCCTTCTGAGGGAGGAGTGATTGTGGTCACTCAGAGAGAGAGATCAGGCAAACTGCCCACTTGACAAAAGACAATTGGCCATACAGAGGGTAATTCAAAACATCTTGCATTGCCATCTTCAACAATAATTTTATTGTTCTATGTTAAATAAATGATATACTAAAACTATATGAAAGAAAGAGAAGAGATACTTCAGAAGGCTTCACAAGTATGATAATAAGAGCTTGTGACTGACTCCTCAGAGTCTGACACAGCTGATGGAGATTGCTCATTAATTAAAAACAATTCACATGGAACCAATCAAAGATGGACCTGTTGGAAAAAGGATCTCCAGACCACATTTCCAGACAATCAGATAATTATTGTTTTCATTCTTTTCTGAGGCTTCTCAGCTTCCCAGGAGAAAAAAATCCTGGGGAAGGGATTTTTCAGAAAATAACATGGAGACAATGAACTTGTATTTTCTCATGTTGCTGATATAAAACCATGTGCCTTCAAAACATGAAGTAGAAATAGACTTCTCTTTTCATTAGAAGATTCTAAATGACCGGAAGAGTCAAGAACTTCCTGCTGAAGGTTTGAGAGGGGAGGGAGCTCTGTGTTGTGCCCAGCCCAGAGTGTCAATGTCACAACAGCTGAGGCAGGAGAGAGCAGAGTGGTACAAGAATGGCAGAAGATGTCATTAACTCTGACCTGAACTTGCCTGAACCAACCAGAGCCAGGCTACACACCATCCCTGATGGCCAAGGTAGGTCCAGTGCTGAGCACTGAGCTTTCTTTGCATTCTCCACTCTCTCTCCCATATCTCTTGAGAGAGTTCCTTGCAGCACCAAAGCCCCAAAGAGCACAAGGGGAACATGAGGGCCAGGGCTGGAAAACTGCAGGTGCAGTGTCCAGAGAGGGTTGTTGATATTTACAAAGGCAAGTTGTTGGAAGATTACTTTTCTCTTGCTAAGGTGCAGGTGTGAGGCAGTGTCTCTGGTGTGAGATTAAGAGTCCTTTTTATCCATTTTGGAGAGCATTCCAGAGGTGAACATCCATTGCTGCTGGCCCTGGCCTGTTGTCCCCCAGCAGACTGAGATTCCTGCAGCAAACTGCTCAGGATGGAGTGGCTGCTGTTGCTGGTGCTCACAGCAGTCTCCTGCACAGCTGTTCCTGCTCCCTGAGCACAGCAGGCACTGCCTGGGGGCTTCTCCTCCTGCTCTGGCTGTACCAACTGCTTGTTGAATGCACAAGGGTGAAACGTTTCCTGGACAGCTTTAGTCTGATTTGGGATCAAAGAGTTTGCAAAATTCTAACCGAGGATTTATCTTTCTTTAGTGAGTTTAAAATTATTGGAAAATGTTTTCAGTTCTTTTGCAATGTCTGCACAAAAGTACATCCTAAAAATTAACAGACTGCATAGAGTGTGTCTATGTATTTCATTTTAGGGTTTTTTTCCTTTTTTTCTCACCCTGCTTTCCCTCTGGCAGAAATTATTTCTTGCCATCCAATGTTTGTCTTTTGCACAAAGTGTGAACCCTCTGCATCTGTTTTCAGGTGGCTGTCATTATTAATATCCCAGGAAATGGGCTTTTAACCTCTTTTGACAGATGCATTCTCAGCTAACTGACAGGAAACCACAATTGATGTCACCTGAATAAAAGGCTCCCTTTCCTTATAATTTCAATTTTTATACAGTTTCAATAACATTTTAATGGGTTTTTTTGTTGTTGGAAAAGCCCTACCAAATCTCTCCTAATTTTGTGCAAAATATTACCAGATAATAATCTCTAGTTTTCAGAAAAGAGCTGGTTTCCTGCCTGCACCCAATTCTCTCAGAGCAGCTCTTTTTAGTTCCTCTTTACTGAGCCCCATTTTCTTCAGGCAGATCATCCCTGTGTCACCCACCCACGCTCTCTGTGTCTCCTGCAGTCCAGGACGTGGAGGACTCTCCTGATTTACCTCTCTCCTCAAACCCATGGCAGGTTGGGAGCTGTTCAGTTCCCTGAGCACAGGAGTCCAGAGCCAGAGGGGAAGCACCAGGACATTGAGCCTGGCTCCAGCCTGCGGATCTGGAAGGCTCCAGAGTCCCAGTGGGAGCCTGAAAAGGCATCTTGGAATGCAGGGGAAAGGGGCTTCTGTCCAGCTGCTCCCCACACCTTGATGTTTCTGCCCCTCTGTAGGTCAAAGCCATTGTTCCAGAACACGAGCTGCTGCTCTGGTTGCTGTCCTGGTTGTGATCATCCTCCTGTTTGCCATAGCCCTGTATCTGACACTCACCATGGGTAAGTCCTGCTAGAAATGTAACGCTGGCACGTAAATGGTGTCTGTCTGCCACTGACTGATGTCCAGGCCATGGCATCCAAAGCCAGGAGGAATGGAAGTCTGCTGTGAAGGCAAAGGACAGCAGTTTTCAACCACCCATGGCTGTGAGAGGAAATCTGTAAAAGAAATGCCAGGTGGTTTGAAAGTTTTAAAATCCAAATGATATCATGACAAAACCCAATTGAAAACAGACAAGGTTCAAACACTGCAGAATTCCTGATAGAAATGTTTTGAAGAAACTAGTCAAGATTAGATAATGCCTATCCTTGATCTGATTGCAATCCTTGAGAATATTTTGAGATGATGATATTGCATCATGGCACCCAGGTGTGACACCAAAACTCTTAAAATAATTAGGAATAAAAGCTCCTTTGAGAGAGACAGTAAAGTTACACATCTTGTGACGGTGGTCACAGGGGTCGTTGGATGAGGGAAGAGACAAGGATTTGACTCCATATTTCAGAAGGCCTGATCTATTATTTTATGATATATATTGCATTAAAACTATTCTAAAGAATAGAAGGAAAAGTTTCATCTCAGAAGGCTAGCTAAGCTAAGAATAGAAAAGTATAGAATGATAACAAGGGCAGCTGCCTCAGACTCTCTGTCCGAGTCAGCTCTGCTGTGATTGGCCATGAATTACAAACAACCACATGAGACCAATCCCAGAGGCACCTGTTGCATTCCACAGCAGCAGATAAGCATTGTTTACATTTTGTTCCTGAGGCCTCTCAGCTTCTCAGGAGGAAAAAATCTTAAGGAAAGATTTTTAATGAAAAGATGTCTGCGACACACATCTAAAGGAATTTTGGTCATCTCACTGAAATAAAAGCCTTGTGCTCAGGGTCTGCATAGATATCACTGAGCTCATAACAATCTCTAACCTGTCTAGAAAGAGGCATTAAATCCATAGAAAGAAAATATTCTCATCTCCATGAAAAAATGTGAATAATTATTACAGCCTTTCCTTTGAAAGTTTTCAAGAATGAGTTTTAAGTGTCAGCTATTTCTCATTTCTCTCTCCATATTTTGATCATTGAGTAAATCTGAAAGGCTTTTACAGCCAATCACACTCAAGTCCCAGAATCTCTCAACAGCTCAGGGCTGCCCATGGTGAAAAAATGCCAAAATCTTTAATGGATTTGGTGTAAACCATAGGCTTGGATGGGGTAATTGCTTTTTGTTTTTCAATGCAAAGAGTTCAGGGCACATACCTGATAGTGCTACCTGATGTGTACAAAATGTGCCATACCAGAGCAAGGACAAATTAAGAAGAAATAATAAACCGAGACAAGAGAAGGAGGTGAAATGGGCTGCATTAAATAGAGCACAAAATCTGGAGCGGATGTTGTTTGTCTCTCATTGCTGTGGTTCCATGTGTGCTGTGCCTCACATCCACCTCTGCTCTGGGAAGGGCTGGAGCAGTTCTGGGTCAGTTCTGGAGTTTGGCCCTTGGGAAGGGAACACCTTGGTGTGTGCTGCAGCTTTGAGGGTTGTTTGCCATGAACGAGCAAAGAGGCAGAGTTGGCATTTTGTGTTGGCTGATGGGGGAGCCAAAGAGGTCCAGCAGGGCTCTGACAGTGCCTGGCACAGTGGTCATTCCTTGCAAGTAACAATTGTATTCTTATTTCTGGATGGTCCAACAGCAGGCAGCCAACAGGACTCAACAGCATCGACCTCCAGCAGCCAAAATGTCCCAGCACCATTGTCCCCCAGCAGCCAAGAGGAATCAACAGAGTTACCCCCCAGCCATGGGGAGGCACCAGGTAGGCAATCCTCTGTCTTCCCAAAGGGAGTTGCCAGAAGCCCCTGTTGGATTGATGGTTAGGGAGGACACAAAGGAACTCCATCAGGATTTTGTTCAGAAGGAAAACAAGAAAGTACAACAAAGTACTGACATTAATTCCATAAACCAGCAGAATGCAGTTAAACTGATAGAAAAACTTCTCCCTGTGTGGAGATAGAACCAAGGGGGCTCAGTGCTGGACAGCAGGATGGTTTTGAGTGTTTCAGAAATATGGAACATTCTATGTCTTATTTTGTGCCCACATCATTAAACTTTACGCTTGTCCATGTGCATTCTTCCCTGCTGGCTTGTATTTATCCCATAACTGTGTCACATCTTCAGATTTAGCATGATCTGCAGTTTTCAGGCTTCCACATTTTAACCATTCTCCCCATTTGTGTATGGATGTGAACTGAATGGGACATTCAGAGACCAGCAGTGAAAAGTGAACAACAGGAGATGAGGAAGAAGAGAAAGGGCATTGAAGATACTTTGCTGTCATAGTTTTGCAAGCAATACTCTCACATTTCCCTCAGGGACTCCCTTGGCCTTCCCTCAGGGAATTCCTAATGCCAGAAGCTGGAGAGTCACCATCCCAGAGATATTCCAACCTGCCTGTGCTTGCTCCTGGACATCCTGCTCTGGCCAACACCTGAGCAGGGGAGCTGGACTCGGGGTTGTGAAAAGGTCAATTCAAACCTAAACCACTCTGCTGGTGTGTGCTCAGGACAGCAGAGCCGATGTTCCCAGAGATCCTCTAGAACTTTCTTTTCAATTTTCTTATTGTGAAAATTATTCACACCAGATATTATTCACATCTGACCTGTTGCTTCCAAGTGCCCAGGTGGAAAGAGAGCTCTAAGAGTGGGATTAAAAAACAGCATTAGCATTATCTGCCAGCAGTGTCCCTTGGGATTTGTTAGTACATGCATGTTGTATTTGGGCCATACCTTTTACAGTCCTTGTGGCTCCTCACAAGGAAGTGCCTTGAACTGAAAGATCTGCCCAGTTCTGACTCAGTCCATCTTGTCACAAGGGATTGATTCATCTTCTCTGCCATGACCTTCTCTGCTGAATGTTTCCTGCAGAGCCAACCATCCTGCCTGGATCCCATCCTCTCGGAGCAGCCCTTTTTAGTTCCTCTTGACTGAGCCCCCTCTCCTTCAGGCCCCCTCTCCTTCCCTGTGTCACCCACCCACCCTCTCTGTGTCCTTCTGCAGTCCAGGACGTGGAGGACTCTCCTGCTTTAGCCCTCTCCTCAAGCCCATGGCAGGTTGGGAGCTGTTCAGTTCCCTGAGCACAGGGGTCCAGAGCCAGAGGGGAAGCACCAGGACATTGAGCCTGGCTCCAGCCTGCAGATCTGGAATGCTCCAGAGTCCCAGTGGGAGCCTGAAAAGGCATCTTGGAATGCAGGGGAAAGGTGGATTATTGCAAGTGTTCCCATAATATTTACTTGTTTCTGTCCCTCTCTAGGAAGAAGTTGTTGTTCCACAACACGAGTTGCTGTCCTGGTCACTGAGATAATCGTGCTCCTGCTCATTGTTGTGTCTCAGATACTCCCATGTAAGTGCTATAAATGAAAGAACAGCAATTAATTTGTGTCTCTCTGCCACTGACTGAGGTCCAGGCCATGACATCCAAGGCCAGGAGGAACAGAAGTCTGGTTTGGAGGCAAAGGACAGCAGTTTTTAGCCAAGCATGGCTGGAAGAGGAAATGTGATGCAAGAGAATCAAGAGGTTTGAAAGTTTAAAATTTAAAAATAAGAACAAGCCCAATTGAAAACTGACAATGTTCAAACTCTGAAGAATTCATTATACAAATGTTTTGAGGAAACAAAACCCAATGATAACTACTGGCCTTTTAATGGGGATATGTGAAAATATTTTAAGGAGAAGATAACTTATTATGACTTCAAGATATGACACCAAAAATCTTAAAATAAATAAGAGTAAAACCTCATTTGAAAAAGACAGCAAAGTTCAAAGTTACATCTTAAAGGAACTTATTTTCACCCTACTCAGATAAAAGCCTTTTGCTCAATCTCTATATACATATCCAATGTGTAACAACACATTATATTTTAGAGAAAGAAAACATCATCATCTCCATCTAGGAAAAAAAAAATCAGGGCCATGTGGAACTTCCTTTGAAAGTTTTCAAGGAATCTTTTTTAAATTTCAGATGGTTTTGCTCATTACTTTCCATCCTTTGATAGTTGAGCAAGCTTGAGACACTTCCACAATCAATCACAGATTCTGACTAAATCATGCAAATTAAGTTTAGAAACTCAGTGACACCAAGGGCCTCACAGAAAAACTTTTGCCTAAAGCACTTCTGATACCAAATCACACAAAGAATCTTGGGAGGCCAAGAAAATGTTCCCAGTGCAGCTTCATTGGAGAGAATAGCAGCCAGTTCCCTTGGATCTGGGAGACAGGTTTAGAGCATGAATAAGAATATTTGTTATTGATTTAATATTTGTAATCCTGAAATGTTTCACTACTGGAAAGCTCAGTTGAATACTGGCCCTTAATTTCATCAGACAGGATGAAAATGCAAAGTGTTGGCATCAGGGATCCCAGATCCCTTCTAGATCACAGGGCAGTGCTCTTTAAGTACCATCCAGCTCTGATGGATGGTGCCTCTTACTCACATCCAGGCAAAATTCTGACTGCCAGAGTCCCCTCACTAACACAGTTTGGCAGTTCTCCAGGAAATTCACTCCTCCCAAGTCACTGTTCCTTGGGATGGAAGCTGCTCTCCTGGGCCTGGCTGAAACCCTGCCTGCCCATGGCAAGTGAGGAATGAATTCCCTGCTTTGCTTTGCTTGCATGCATGGTTGCTCTTCTTCTATGAAACCACCTTTATCCCAGCGCAGGAGTTTTGCCCCTTTTACCCTGGCCCATCTCCCTTCTCCTCTCTCCATGGAGGGGGCAGGGAGCCAGTGGCTCCATGGGGATTTTTGCCAGCTGGTGTCCAATGGCAACAGGCCCAGAGCTGCCCCTGGGGCTGCAGGAGATGCCACCCAACGCTGAGCACAGCAGGGTGATCCCCTCTGCCAGGGCTGCTGAGGCTGGGTTTGATGTCCCCAGGACAGGCTTTGCCCTCTGGGCTGCCAGGGCACTGCTGGCTCCCCCTGAATCTGGTGCAGAGCAGCACATCAGCCTGGACATGGGACTGCTCCTGGCAGCTTCCGTCTGCCCTGGGCACCAAAGCCAAACCACTCTGGCATCTGCAACGGGGAATTGCTGCTGAAAGAGAGGATGTATCCTCCCACAGTTACTGCCAGCACCATGTCCACACAGCTGCCACCTCCTGCTCTAGGAAAGCATTCATCCTGCAGGAATGACAAACCTGGAAAGCCAAGGCCTTGTCTTATTTAGGCTGGACTATTCCAGCTGGAAGTTTTGCATATTCTTCTGCACTTCCTGAAACAAGCTGGACAAGTCTTCCTTCCTGAATGATGACTTCAGCTTTTCCCATGTCCTCAAACCCATGGCAGGTTGGGATCTGTTCAGTTCCCTGAGCACAGGGGGTCCAGAGCCAGAGGGGAAGCACCAGGACATTGAGCCTGGCTCCAGCCTGCGGATCTGGAAGGCTCCAGAGTCCCAGTGGGAGCCTGAAAAGGCATCTTGGAATGAAGAGGAAAGGGGCTTCTGTCCAGCTGTTTTCCTGATCTTTATGTTTCTGTCCCTCTGTAGGTCAATGCCATTGTTCCAGAACACAAGTTGCTGTCCTGGTTGTTGTCCTGGTTCCCATTGTAGCGGCCCTAACTCTGTCGTGGACACTCCCATGTAAGTCCTGCTAGAAATGTAACACTGGCAATCAATTTGTGTCTCTCTGCCACTGACTGAGGTCCAGGCCGTGACATCCAAAGCCAGAAGGAATGGAAGTCTGGCATGAAGGCCAAGGACAACAGTTTTTAGGTAGCCATGGCTGTAGGAGAAAATCTGGAAAAAAGCCAAGGGGGTTGAAGGTTCAAAGTTGCAAAAGAATAAAAGCTGTGACAAAAGGACAAAAGGGAAAACAACAATGTATAAAAACTGAGGAATTCATGATACAAATGTTTTGAAAAAAACAGTGAAGATCAAATAATGCCTATTGATCTTGTGATTGCAATCCTAGAGAATATTTCAAAGTGATGATGTTGTCTTATGAAACAGGGATGTGACACCAAAAATCTTACAATACTTATGAATTTCATCTCATTTCAAAAATGCATCGAAGTTGGAAATGAATAGAATTTATTTGCAGCTTCTTTCAAAGCAAACCTTGTGCTCAGTCTCTGCTCTGAGTTCATAACAATTTTTAAGTTACATAAACTGATAAATGATATCTGGTGGAAAATGTATTCTTATCAACACCAGAAAAAAAAAATATAGATCCACTTGATTCTTCCTCTGAATGTTTCCAAGGAATCATTTTTAAATTTCAGATGTCATTTCTTCTTTCCATCCTTTGGTGGCTGAGAAAGCTTGGGAAGCTTCCACAACCAATCACTCTCAAGTCCCAGACTTTGCCACCTGCTCAGACATGCACATGGGGAAGACATGGCAAAGCCTTTGACCCTTGGAACTTAAAAAACAGGGCTGGAGGAGGCAATTCATTCTTTTTTTCAGGGCAAAGAGTTCAGGATTGATATTTGACAGTGACCTGACATTTGTAAAATGTCAAACAGCAAATGGTGGGGCAAATTAAAAACAAAAACTGAACCAACAGAAAATCAAAAGATGTAATGTAGATTTAACAGAGCTTTAAGTCTAACATTGAAAGAGGAGTCCTTAGACTTAGATCCAGGACTGGCTTTAGTTATAGTTCCTTTGTGAGGCTCAGTACTGGCTCAGAACAGCTACACACCTGAAAAAAATACTCCTAAGAAACTTGAGATCTAGATCAAACTTGAGAAATTAAATCAAGGTAGTTTTTATGTTCAAGAGCACACAGGTTTCACTTGTTCTCCAAATACAAACTGCTGCATTTTGAGTTTATTCTAAGTTATAATTTTGTATGAATTTTCCATAAGGTCTTGTTATTAACAAATACACTGTTATTAAGATACAACTTGTGTAAACGAACTCAAGTGTTGCCTTTTCCTCAGTGGAACCTGACCTGACCATTTAATGATTTTGGTAGTAGACCCATGAGCAAAGAGGCAAAGTTTGCATTCTGTGTTGGGTGATGGGGGGTCAGAGAGGTCCAGCAGAGCTCTGACAGTGCCTGGCACAGTGGCCAATCCTTGCAAGCAGAAACTGTGTTCTTATTTCCAGATGGTCCAACAGCAGGCAGCCCACAGGACTCCCCAAGAACCATCCCTGAAGAGGCACTAGGTAGGCAACCCTCTGTCATTCCAGAGGGAGTCTCCAGAGGCCTGTGGAATTGACTGTGCAGGGGGCAGGGGAGGGTGTGTGGGACTGGATTTTGTTGAGAAGGGAAACAAAGAAAGAAAGCCTCTCCCATCTCAGGAATACAAAGCTGATCCTGGACACTCCCAGGATGAGCTTTGGAAGAGACAGGAAGAACAATCCCTCTGGAAGCTCAGCACTGCAGGGAGCAGGATGGATCATGTGCTTCCACTGCTTTTCCAAGGCCCTCCATTACCAGCCTTTGACCTCAGTGCAATTCCCTGGGGCTGTTTAGGAGCTGCAGAGCAAAGCTGGGAAAGGCTGGAGCTGTTTGCTGTGCTGCTCCCTGTCTGGCTCCTGCCTGCTGATTCTGGGCTGCCATCAGCTCCAGAGGCTCTGGGGGATCCCTGGTGCTCTGCTGACAATTCTCAGCAGGAGCACACAGGCATTTCTGGGGCTGGAATTGCCTCTCTGAGCTCTCTTTTGTTGTGGCATCCTTTGGTCAGTGTGAACATGGATTTTACACACCTCTTCTTCCCTTCTGCAGGCTGCCCCATACCATGGAAGAAACATGGGAGGAAATGCTACTTCTTTTCTCCAGAGGGGAAACCAAAGGACTGGAATGCCTCCCGTGCAGAATGCAAGGCCATGGGCTCAGACCTGGTGGTCATTGACAGCAGGGAAGAGCTGGTGAGATCCAACTCTTGGGGCAGCTGCTCGGGGGGCTGGAGCTGCCTGGCCAAGGGCTGGGCAGTGACACTTGTGCCAGCTCCTGTCACATGTCCTTGGGCTCTGGGACCTGCTGCCAGCCATGGACAGCCCAGGCCTGGCAGTGGGAGCAGAGGCCTGCACAGGGAGAGGCCTCCTGGGCCTTGGAGTCCTGTCCCTGGAAGCTTCTGTGCCCAAGCCTGATCCCATGGCAAGGAGCAAACTCCCTGCCCAGCTGGCTGGGCTTTTCCAGGGATTTAGCACACAGGCCATGGAGCTTGAACAGACACTTCTTTGTAAGAGCCATGGCTGGGACAGAACCTGAAAAGGCTTTGCCACCTCCATCCAAAGGGAAAAGTGTCCCCAGCTATCAAGTCACACCTGTCTGTCTGCAATGTAAGGGCGCCACAGGGCTACTATTACATTTCTTATCTTCATCAGGGGCCTCCAAAAGGGAGATGATCTCCCATAGAAATGGAGAAATTCATCCTCTGGAGCTGTGGGCAGAGGTGCTGTGGCTGGATGCACACTGCACTCTCTGTGCTGGCTGTTTAGCCAGGAGCCTTCTGTGCCTCTGCTGAAGAAAATGTCATTTTCATGTACTCCCATTGTTGGCTTCCTTTCCAGGAGTACCTTCGATCACAATCAAGTCATAACTACTACTTACTTGGTCTCACACGCTCTCCAGAGGAGCAGAAGTGGAAGTGGATCAACAACATGGAACATGACACAAACATGTGAGCTCCTTCCAGCAAGTCCCTGCCATGCAGTGCCTGGGAAGAGGAAAATGCCAAAGGCAGAGCAGAGAGCCCAAGGGTGATCAGGGCCTGTGCTTTGGGGGAAGCTGATTGCTGGAGGTGCAGGTGCTTCAGCACATGGCTGTGCCAAGGAAAGGGAGCCTTGCAGGGCCAGGGAACACAGGGCTGTCCTGTAGGGATGGCAGGAGAGGACACAGCTGGAGTTTGCTGGGGAAGGAAGGATCTGGCTGGATGCAGCTCCCTGGGCAAAGGAAGGGGACAGGAGGCAGGGACAAGAGAGAGAGAGTGATGTCAGCACCATTGGCTGGAGGGGACCAAAGCAGGGGAATGTTTCTGGATGGGAAAGCATTGCCCAAAAACTTTTGTGGAGCTGTGGGGAACAGCAGTGAGGAATGGGCGGGAATTCCAGCAAGGCAATTCCTGGTTCCAGTGACAGTAACACAGCTTAGCAGCTGCCACTCTGCCTTTCACTGCATGTCAGGAATGTAACCAAATTTGGCTTTTTTGCCCTATTCAGGTTCAGGATAGTTGGACACTTCCAAGACTATCTCTGCACAGCCATTGGATATGGTGAAGTACAAGCTGCACCTTGTGGTGGAGACGAAACCACAAAAAATATGTGTGAAAAAGCTGCCACAATTTCAAAGATGCATTAGGAGGAGAGCTAAAACCAAGAGGTGCAGGCTGATCTGTGTTCTGCCCAGCTTCCTGTAGGAACCCTGGATGGGATGTATCTCATTGCTCTTGAATTCCTGCCCAGTCTCTGCTCCCAGGCTCTCCTGCAGCCTCTCTCCAGCCTCGGGGCTGAGCTCAGCCCAACCTTTCCCTGCTGCTGTCTGAGCTTGGACGGGTCCCCTCTGGAAGAGCTGGCCCTGGCACACAGGAGCACTCTGGCACTGCCTCATGCCAGAGGTGGCACTGCCAGGCAGGCACTGCCAGGGGAGAGGAGCCCAGCCTGGGCACAGGGGTGATCCCAACAGATCCTGCCTCTGCAGGTCACATCCATCCACAGCCCTGTGTTCCCAGCCCTGCCTGGGCACAAGGAGACCCTTCCCCACCTGGCCACAGCCTGGCCTTGCCTGCAGCCACAAGGGAAGGGCAGCTCACATTGCTGGCTGGGAGCCTGTAGGGAAGGGCAACCCCACTCCTTTCCAGGATGGACAGGATAAATTCAGGTGTGGGTGTGGATAAACCTTCCCCTGTCCCAGACTGTTCCAAGAGCACACAGGATCCCAGAGCCTGCGAGGGGAATGGGAATCAGCCCAAGGGAAAGGATCCTACAGCAGCACAGCTCTGGGCATAAAATCAGCCCCAGTCCTGTGTGGGGAAGGCAGGAATGTCAGATTTAAGATCTGCTTCCGAAGGGCACAGGATGGAGACCAGCAGAGAGCAGCAAGGCCTGAAGAAGAGAGTCCCAACAGAAGCTGAGCTGGACAGAATACAGGACAATGAAACCCACAGTGACCTGTGAAGGAGCTGGTGAGAAGCATGAGAGTGACCCACAGGGAATGGCAACACAGTGCTCTGCCCTCTTTTCCTTGGACATTGGTCACAGGACAGGGCAGTACCATTGATGTGCTCTGGGTCACCCCAGAGAGCTCCACTCAGCTACCTGGGCTGACTGCTGGGCCCCTGTACAGTTCCTCTCCTTTCCATTGCATGCAATAAAGCTTTTCTTTTCAAAAGACAAAGCATTGCTTCTGTGTGGGTAGGTGAAGCTTTGGGAACTCCAGACACTTCCAGTCCAGAACCACTTCCCAACACAGGTGACCTCAGGGAAACCATGATCTGTGGTGTTGTGAGGTTCCCTGGATGAGGTGAGAGATGAGAATTTGACTCCATGTTCTCAGAAGGCTGATTTATAATTGTCTTGGTTTGGAAAGACAGGAGTCTGCTAAGGAAGGCAAGAGCCTCCCCTGAAATGGAGAATGTAAACCCTCCCCAGCCCTCCAAATGGCTATGAATTTTAAATTAAGGGGCTCTCAGGCAAAAATATGGGAGCAGGAAATAGTTCTTTAATAGGGAAGAAAAACAAATAAAAGGATAAAATAAACAATGCAGTACACTAGAACAACACTGACAGAGTCAGAACCCAACCTGACACCCTGTGGGTCAGGGTGTTGGTAGCAGTCCAATTGGAAATGTGGCTGCAGCCCTCCTGGAGTGTCAGGTGTGGTTCTGTTGGAGCAGGGATCCTGCAGAGAAGGATGTATTCTTCCTCCAAAGAAAGAGACAGCTGCTGTTCCTCTGGGGAATCCATGGAGAAAGCCATGCTGGTGTCTCAAAACCTCTGGATTATATCTGGGTAGCAATGCTTGGCTCCTCCCCCTGGGCAGAGCATCTCAGAATGGGATGTTCTAGCTCTTATCAGTCATGCAGTGACATTCAATAGCCTGTTATCAACAGATGTCCCCTTCTGAGGGAGGAGTGATTGTGGTCACTCACAGAGAGAGATCAGGCAAACTGCCCACTTGACAAAAGACAATTGGCCATACAGATGGTAATTGAAAACAATTGCAATCTTCAACAACAATTTTATTATGCTATATTAAAAGAAATGATATACTAAAACTATGTGAAAGAAAGAGAAGAGATACTTCAGAAGGCTTCACAAGTATGATAATAAGAGCTTGTGACTGACTCCTCAGAGTCTGACACAGCTGATGGTGACTGCTCATTAATTAAAAACAATTCACATGGAACCAATCAAAGATGGAACTGTTGGAAAAAGGATCTCCAGACCACATGTCCAGACAATCAGATAATTATTGTTTTCATTCTTTTCTGAGGCTTCTCAGCTTCCCAGGAGAAAAAATCCTGGGGAAGGGATTTTTCAGAAAATAACATGGAGACAATGAACTTGTATTTTCTCATGGTGCTGACATAAAACCCTGTGCCATCAAAACATGAAGTAGAAATAGACTTCTCTTTTCATAGAAGTTTCTAAATGACCAGAAGGGTCAAGAACTTCCTGCTGAAGGTTTGAGAGGGGAGGGAGCTCTGTGTCATGCCCAGCCCAGAGTGTCACTGTCACAACAGCCGAGGCAGGAGAGAGCAGAGTGGAACAAGAATGGCAGAAGATGTCATTAACTCTGACCTGAACTTGCCTGAATCAACCAGAGCCAGGCTACACACCATCCCTGATGGCCAAGGTAGGTCCAGTGCTGAGCACTGAGCTTTCTTTGCATTCTCCACTCTCTCTCCCATATCTCTTGAGAGAGTTCCTTGCAGCAGCAAAGCCCCAAAGAGCACAAGGGGAACATGAGGGCCAGGGCTGGAAAACTGCAGGTGCAGTGTCCAGAGAGGGTTGTTGATATTTATAAAGGCAAGTTGTTGGAAGATTACTTTTCTCTTGCTAAGGTGCAGGTGTGAGGCAGTGTCTCTGGTGTGAGATTAAGAGTCCTTTTATCCATTTTGGAGAGCATTCCAGAGCTGAACATCCATTGCTGCTGGCCCTGGCCTGTTGTCCCCCAGCAGACTGAGATTCCTGCAGCAAACTGCTCAGGATGGAGTGGCTGCTGTTGCTGGTGCTCACAGCAGTCTCCTGCACAGCTGTTCCTGCTCCCTGAGCACAGCAGGCACTGCCTGGGGGCTTCTCCTCCTGCCCTGGCTGTACCAACTGCTTCTTGAATGCACAAGGGTGAAATGTTTCATGGACAGCTTTAGTCTGATTTGGGATCAAGGACTGCAAAATTCTAACCAAGGATTTATCTTTCTTTAGTGAGTTTAAAATTATTGGAAAATGTTTTCAGTTCTTTTGCAATGTCTGCACAAAAGTACATCCTAAAAATTAACAGACTTCATATAGAGTGTCTCTGTATTTCATTTTAGGGTTTTTTTCCTTTTCTTCTCACCCTGCTTTCCCTCTGGCAGAAATAATTTCTTGCCATCCAATGTTTATCTTTTGCACAAAGTGTGAACCCTCTGCATCTTTTTTCAGGTGGCTGTCATTATTAATATCCCAGGAAATGGGCTTTTAACCTCTTTTGACAGATGCATTCTCAGCTAACTGACAGGAAACCACAATTGATGTCACCTGAATAAAAGGCTCCCTTTCCTTATAATTTCAATTTGTATACAGTTTCAATAACATTTTAATGGGTTTTTTTGTTGTTGGAATAGCCCTACGAAATCTTTCCTAATTTTGTGCAAAATATTACCAGATAATAATCTCTAGTTTTCAGAAAAGAGCTGGTTTCCTGCCTGCACCCAATTCTCTCAGAGCAGCTCTTGTTAGTTCCTCTTGACTGAGCCCCCTCTCCTTCAGGCAGATCCTCCCTGTGTCACCCACCCACGCTCTCTGTGTCCTTCTGCAGTCCAGGGGTTTGAGGACTCTCCTGCTTTACCCCTCTCCTCAAACCCATGGCAGGTTGGGAGCTGTTCAGTTCCCTGAGCACAGGGGTCCAGAGCCAGTGGGGAAGCACCAGGACATTGAGCCTGGCTCCAGCCTGCCAACCTGGAATGCTCCAGAGTCCCAGTGGGAGCCTGAAAAGGCATCTTGGAATGCAGGGGAAAGGGGCTTCTGTCCAGCTGCTCCCCACACCTTGATGTTTCTATCCCTCTGTAGGTCAAAGCCATTGTTCCAGAACACGAGCTGCTGCTCTGGTTGCTGTCCTGGTTGTGATCATCCTCCTGTTTGCCATAGCCCTGTATCTGACACTCACCATGGGTAAGTCCTGCTAGAAATGTAACGCTGGCACGTAAATGGTGTCTGTCTGCCACTGACTGATGTCCAGCCATGGCATCCAAAGCCAGGAGGAATGGAAGTCTGCTGTGAAGGCAAAGGACAGCGGTTTTCAGCCACCCATGGCTGTGAGAGGAAATCTGTAAAAGAAATGCCAGGTGGTTTGAAAGTTTTAAAATCCAAATGATATCATGACAAAACCCAGTTAAAAACAGACAAGGTTCAAACACTGCAGAATTCATGATAGAAATGTTTTGAAGAAACAAGTCAAGATTAGATAATGCCTATCCTTGATCTGATTGCAATCCTTGAGAATATTTTGAGATGATGATATTGCATCATGGCACCCAGGTGTGACACCAAAACTCTTAAAATAATTAGGAATAAAAGCTCCTTTGAGAGAGACAGTAAAGTTACACATCTTGTGACGGTGGTCACAGGGGTCGTTGGATGAGGGAACAGACAAGGATTTGACTCCATATTTCAAAAGGCCTGATCTATTATTTTATGATATATATTACATTATACTAAAGAATAGAAGGAAAAGTTTCATCTCAGAAGGCTAGCTAAGCTAAGAATAGAAAAGTATAGAATGATAACAAAGGCAGCTGCCTCAGACTCTCTGTCTGAGTCAGCTCTGCTGTGATTGGCCATGAATTACAAACAACCACATGAGACCAATCCCAGATGCACCTGTTGCATTCCACAGCAGCAGATAAGCATTGTTTACATTTTGTTCCTGAGGCCTCTCAGCTTCTCAGGAGGAAAAAATCTTAAGGAAAGATTTTTAATGAAAAGATGTCTGCGACACACATCTAAAGGAATTTTGGTCATCTTACTGAAATAAAAGCCTTGTGCTCAGGGTCTGCATAGATATCACTGAGCTCATAACAATCTCTAACCTGTCTAGAAAGAGACATTAAATCCTTAGAAAGGAAATATTCTCATCTCCATGAAAAAATGTGAATAATTATTACAGCCTTTCCTTTGAAAGTTTTCAAGGAATGAGTTTTGAGTGTCAGCTATTTCTCATTTCTGTCTCCATATTTTGATCATTGAGTAAGTCTGAAAGGTTTTTACAGCCAATCACACTCAAGTCCCAGAATCTCTCAACAGCTCGGAGCTGCCCATGGTGAAAAAATGCCAAAATCTTTAATGGATTTGGTGTAAACCATAGGCTTGGATGGGGTAATTGCTTTTTGTTTTTCAATGCAAAGAGTTCAGGGCACATACCTGATAGTGCTACCTGATGTGTACAAATTGTGCCATACCAGAGCAAGGACAAATTAAAAAGAAATAATAAACCGAGACAAGAGAAGGAGGTGAAAGTGGCTGCATTTAATAGAGCACAAAATCTGGAGTGGATGTAGTTTGTCTCTCATTGCTGTGGTTCCATGTGTGCTGTGCCTCACATCCACCTCTGCTCTGGGAAGGGCTGGAGCAGTTCTGGGTCAGTTCTGGAGTTTGGCCCTTGGGAAGGGAACACCTTGGTGTGTGCTGCAGCTTTGAGGGTTGTTTGCCATGAACGAGCAAAGAGGCAGAGTTGACATTTTGTGTTGGCTGATGGGGGAGCCAAAGAGGTCCAGCAGGGCTCTGACAGTGCCTGGCACAGTGGTCATTCCTTGCAAGTAACAATTGTATTCTTATTTCTGGATGGTCCAACAGCAGGCAGCCAACAGGACTCAACAGCATCGACCTCCAGCAGACAAAATGTCCCAGCACCATTGTCCCCCCGCAGCCAAGAGGAATCAACAGAGTTACCCCCCAGCCATGGGGAGGCACCAGGTAGGCAATCCTCTGTCTTCCCAAAGGGAGTTGCCAGAAGCCCCTGTTGGATTGATGGTTAGGGAGGACACAAAGGAACTCCGTCAGGACTTTGTTCAGAAGGAAAACAAGAAAGTACAACAAAGTACTGACATTAATTCCATAAACCAGCAGAATGCAGTTAAACTGATAGAAAAACTTCTCCCTGTGTGGAGATAGAACCAAGGGGGCTCAGTGCTGGACAGCAGGATGGTTTTGAGTGTTTCAGAAATATGGAACATTCTATGTCTTATTTTGTGCCCACATCATTAAACTTTACGCTTGTCCATGTGCATTCTTCCCTGCTGGTTTGTATTTATCCCATAACTGTGTCACATCTTCAGATTTAGCATGATCTGCAGTTTTCAGGCTTCCACATTTTAACCATTCTCCCCATTTGTGTATGGATGTGAACTGAATGGAAAATTCAGAGACCAGCAGTGAAAAGTGAACAACAGGAGATGAGGAAGAAGAGAAAGGGCATTGAAGATACTTTGCTGTCATAGTTTTTCAAGCAATACTCTCACATTTCCCTCAGGGACTCCCTCGGCCTTCCCTCAGGGAATTCCTAATGCCAGAAGCTGGAGAGTCACCATCCCAGAGATATTCCAACCTGCCTGTGCTTGCTCCTGGACATCCTGCTCTGGCCAACACCTGAGCAGGGGAGCTGGACTCGGGGATGTGAAAAGGTCAATTCAAACCTAAACCACTCTGCTGGTGTGTGCTCAGGACAGCAGAGCTGATGTTCCCAGAGATCCTCTAGAACTTTCTTTTTAATTTTCTTACTGTGAAAATTATTCACACCAGATATTATTCACATCAGACCTGTTACCTCCCAGTGCCCAGGTGGAAAGAGAGCTCTAAGAGGGGGATTAAAAAACAGCATTAGCATTATCTGCCAGCAGTGTCCCTTGGGATTTGTTAGTACATCCATGTTGTATTTGGGCCATACCTTTTACAGTCCTTGTGGCTCCTCACAAGGAAGTGCCTTGAACTGAAAGATCTGCCCAGTTCTGACTCAGTCCATCTTGTCACAAGGCATTGATTCATCTTCTCTGCCATGACCTTCTCTGCTGAATGTTTCCTGCAGAGCCAACCATCCTGCCTGGATCCCATTCTCTCGGAGCAGCCCTTTTTAGTTCCTCTTGACTGAGCCCCCTCTCCTTCAGGCCCCCTCTCCTTCCCTGTGTCACCCACCCACCCTCTCTGTGTCCTTCTGCAGTCCAGGACGTGGAGGACTCTCCTGCTTTAGCCCTCTCCTCAAACCCATGGCAGGTTGGGAGCTGTTCAGTTCCCTGAGCACAGGGGTCCAGAGCCAGAGGGGAAGCACCAGGACATTGAGCCTGGCTCCAGCCTGCCAACCTGGAATGCTCCAGAGTCCCAGTGGGAGCCTGAAAAGGCATCTTGGAATGCAGGGGAAAGGTGGATTATTGCAAGTGTTCCCATAATATTTACTTGTTTCTGTCTCTCTCTAGGAAGAAGTTGTTGTTCCACAACACGAGTTGCTGTCCTGGTCACTGAGATAATCGTGCTCCTGCTCATTGTTGTGTCTCAGATACTCCCATGTAAGTGCTATAAATGAAAGAACAGCAATTAATTTGTGTCTCTCTGCCACTGACTGAGGTCCAGGCCATGACATCCAAGGCCAGGAGGAACAGAAGTCTGGTTTGGAGGCAAAGGACAGCAGTTTTTAGCCAAGCATGGCTGGAAGAGGAAATGTGATGCAAGAGAATCAAGAGGTTTGAAAGTTTAAAATTTAAAAAAAAAGAACAAGCCCAATTGAAAACTGACAATGTTCAAACTCTGAAGAATTCATTATACAAATGTTTTGAGGAAACAAAACCCAATTATAACCTCTGGCCTTTTAATGGGGATATGTGAAAATATTTTAAGGAGAAGATAACTTATTATGACTTCAAGATATGACACCAAAAATCTTAAAATAAATAGGAGTAAAACCTCATTTGAAAAAGACAGCAAAGTTCAAAGTTACATCTTAAAGGAACTTATTTTCACCCTACTCAGATAAAAGCCTTTTGCTCAATCTCTATATACATACACAATTTGTAACAACACATTATATTTTAGAGAAAGAAAACATCATCATCTCCATCTAGGAAAAAAAAAATCAGGGCCATGTGGAACTTCCTTTGAAAGTTTTCAAGGAATCTTTTTTAAATTTCAGATGGTTTTGCTCATTACTTTCCATCCTTTGATAGTTGAGCAAGCTTGAGACACTTCCACAATCAATCACAGATTCTGACTAAATCATGCAAATTCAGTTTAGAAACTCAATGACACCAAGGGCCTGACATAAAAACTTTTGCCTAAAGCACTTCTGATACCAAATCACACAAAGAATCTTGGGAGGCCAAGAAAATGTTCCCAGTGCAGCTTCATTGGAGAGAATAGCAGCCAGTTCCCTTGGATCTGGGAGAGCAGAGAGGTTTAGAGCATGAATAAGAATATTTGTTATTGATTTAATATTTGTAATCCTGAAATGTTTCACTACTGGAAAGCTCAGTTGAATACTGCCCCTTAATTTCATCAGACAGGATGAAAATGCAAAGTGTTGGCATCAGGGATCCCAGATCCCTTCTAGATCACAGGGCCGTGCTCTTTAAGTACCATCCAGCTCTGATGGATGGTGCCTCTTACTCACATCCAGACAAAATTCTGACTGCCAGAGTCCCCTCACTAACACAGTTTGGCAGTTCTCCAGGAAAATTCACTCCTCCCAAGTCACTGTTCCTTGGGATGGAAGCTGCTCTCCTGGGCCTGGCTGAAACCCTGCCTGCCCATGGCAAGTGAGGAATGAATTCCCTGCTTTGCTTTGCTTGCATGCATGGTTGCTCTTCTTCTATGAAACCACCTTTATCCCAGCCCAGGAGTTTTGCCCCTTTTACCCTGGCCCATCTCCCTTCTCCTCTCTCCATGGAGGGGGCAGGGAGCCAGTGGCTCCATGGGGATTTTTGCCAGCTGGTGTCCAATGGCAACAGGCCCAGAGCTGCCCCTGGGGCTGCAGGAGATGCCACCCAACGCTGAGCACAGCAGGGTGATCCCCTCTGCCAGGGCTGCTGAGGCTGGGTTTGATGTCCCCAGGACAGGCTTTGCCCTCTGGGCTGCCAGGGCACTGCTGGCTCCCCCTGAATCTGGTGCAGAGCAGCACATCAGCCTGGACATGGGACTGCTCCTGGCAGCTTCCGTCTGCCCTGGGCACCAAAGCCAAACCACTCTGGCATCTGCAACGGGGAATTGCTGCTGAAAGAGAGGATGTATCCTCCCACAGTTACTGCCAGCACCATGTCCACACAGCTGCCACCTCCTGCTCTAGGAAAGCATTCATCCTGCAGGAATGACAAACCTGGAAAGCCAAGGCCTTGTCTTATTTAGGCTGGACTATTCCAGCTGGAAGTTTTGCATATTCTTCTGCACTTCCTGAAACAAGCTGGACAAGTCTTCCTTCCTGAATGATGACTTCAGCTTTTCCCATGTCCTCAAACCCATGGCAGGTTGGGATCTGTTCAGTTCCCTGAGCACAGGGGGTCCAGAGCCAGAGGGGAAGCACCAGGACATTGAGCCTGGCTCCAGCCTGCGGATCTGGAAGGCTCCAGAGTCCCAGTGGGAGCCTGAAAGGGCATCTTGGAATGAAGAGGAAAGGGGCTTCTGTCCAGCTGTTTTCCTGATCTTTATGTTTCTGTCCCTCTGTAGGTCAAAGCCATTATTCCAGAACACAAGTTGCTGTCCTGGTTGTTGTCCTGGTTCCCATTGTAGTGGCCCTAACTCTGTCGTGGACACTCCCATGTAAGTCCTGCTAGAAATGTAACACTGGCAATCAATTTGTGTCTGTCTGCCACTGACTGAGGTCCAGGCCGTGACATCCAAAGCCAGAAGGAATGGAAGTCTGGCATGAAGGCCAAGGACAACAGTTTTTAGCCAGCCATGGCTGTAGGAGAAAATCTGGAAAAAAGCCAAGGGGGTTGAAGGTTCAAAGTTCCAAAAGAATAAATGCTGTGACAAAAGGACAAAAGGGAAAACAGCAATGTATAAACACTGAGGAATTCATGATACAAATGTTTTGAAAAAAACAGTGAAGATCAAATAATGCCTATTGATCTTGTGATTGCAATCCTTGAGAATATTTCAAGGTGATGATGTTGTCTTATGAAACAGGGATGTGACACCAAAAATCTTACAATACTTATGAATTTAATCTTATTTCAAAAATGCATTGAAGTTGGAAATGAATAGAAATTATTTGCAGCTTCTTTCAATGCAAACCTTGTGCTCAGTATCTGCTCTGAGTTCATAACAATTTTTAAGTTACATAAACTGATAAATGATATCTGGTGGAAAATGTATTCTTATCAACACCAGAAAAAAAAAATATAGATTCACTTGATTCTTCCTCTGAATGTTTCCAAGGAATCATTTTTAAATTTCAGATGTCATTTCTTCTTTCCATCTTTTGGTGGCTGAGAAAGCTTGGGAAGCTTCCACAACCAATCACTCTCAAGTCCCAGACTTTGCCACCTGCTCAGAGATGCACATGGGGAAGACATGGCAAAGCCTTTGATCCTTGGAACTTAAAAAACAGGGCTGGAGGAGGCAATTCATTCTTTTTTTCAGGGCAAAGAGTTTTCAGGATTGATATTTGACAGTGACCTGACATTTGTAAAATGTCAAACAGCAAATGGTGGGGCAAATTAAAAACAAAAAAGGAACCAACAGAAAATCAAAAGATGTAATGTAGATTTAACAGAGCTTTAAGTCTAACATTGAAAGAGGAGTCCTTAGACTTAGATCCAGGACTGGCTTTAGTTATTGTTCCTTTGTGAGGCTCAGTACTGGCTCAGAACAGCTACACACCTGAAAAAAAGTACTCCTAAGAAACTTGAGCTCTAGATCAAACTTGAGAAATTAAATCAAGGTAGTTTTTATGTTCAAGAGCACACAGGTTTCACTTGTTCTCCAAATACAAACTGCTGCATTTTGAGTTTATTCTAAGTTATAGTTTTGTATGAATTTTCCATAAGGTCTTGTTATTAACAAATACACTGTTATTAAGATACAACTTGTGTAAACGAACTCAAGTGTTGTCTTTTCCTCAGTGGAACCTGACCTGACCATTTAATGATTTTGGTAGTAGACCCATGAGCAAAGAGGCAAAGTTTGCATTCTGTGTTGGGTGATGGGGGGTCAGAGAGGTCCAGCAGAGCTCTGACAGTGCCTGGCACAGTGGCCAATCCTTGCAAGCAGAACTTGTGTTCTTATTTCCAGATGGTCCAACAGCAGGCAGCCCACAGGACTCCCCAAGAACCATCCCTGAAGAGGCACTAGGTAGGCAATCCTCTGTCATTCCAGAGGGAGTCTCCAGAGGCCTGTGGAATTGACTGTGCAGGGGGCAGGGGAGGGTGTGGGACTGGATTTTGTTGAGAAGGGAAACAAAGAAAGAAAGCCTCTCCCATCTCAGGAATACAAAGCTGATCCTGGACAGTCCCAGGATGAGCTTTGGAAGAGCCAGGAAGAACAATCCCTCTGGAAGCTCAGCACTGCAGGGAGCAGGATGGATCATGTGCTTCCACTGCTTTTCCAAGGCCCTCCATTACCAGCCTTTGACCTCAGTGCAATTCCCTGCGGCTGTTTAGGAGCTGCTGAGCAAAGCTGGGAAAGGCTGGATCTGTTTGCTGTGCTGCTCCCTGTCTGGCTCCTGCCTGCTGACTGGGGCTGTTATCAGCTCCAGAGGCTCTGGGGGATCCCTGGTGCTCTGCTGACAATTCTCAGCAGGAGCACACAGGCATTTCTGGGGCTGGAATGGCCTCTCTGAGCTCTCTTTTGTTGTGGCATCCTTTGGTCAGTGTGAACATGGATTTTACACACCTCTTCTTCCCTTCTGTAGGCTGCCCCATACCATGGAAGAAACATGGGAGGAAATGCTACTTCTTTTCTCCAGAGAGGAAACCAAAGGACTGGAATGCCTCCCGTGCAGAATGCACTGCCAAGGGCTCAGACCTGGTGGTCATTGACAGCAGGGAAGAGCTGGTGAGATCCAACTCCTGGGGCAGCGGCTCGGGGGGCTGGAGCTGCCTGGCCAAGGGCTGGGCAGTGACACTTGTGCCAGCTCCTGTCACATGTCCTTGGGCTCTGGGACCTGCTGCCAGCCATGGACAGCCCAGGCCTGGCAGTGGGAGCAAAGGCCTGCACAGGGAGAGGCCTCCTGGGCCTTGGAGTCCTGTTCCTGGAAGCTTCTGTGCCCGAGCCTGCTCCCATGGCAAGGAGCAAACTCCCTGCCCAGATAGCTGGGCTTTTCCAGGGATTTAGCACACAGGTCATGGAGCTTGAACAGACACTTCTTTGTAAGAGCCATGGCTGGGACAAAACCTGAAAACGTTTTGCCACCTCCATCCAAAGGGAAAAGTGTCCCCAGCTATCAAGTCACACCTGTCTGTCTGCAATGTAAGGGCACCACAGGGCTACTATTACATTTCTTATCTTCATCAGGGGCCTCCAAAAGGGAGATGATCTTCCATAGACAAGGAGAAATTCATCCTCTGGAGCTGTGGGCAGAGGTGCTGTGGCTGGATGCACACTGCACTCTCTGTGCTGGCTGTTTAGCCAGGAGCCTTCTGTGCCTCTGCTGAAGAAAATGTCATTTTCATGTACTCCCATTGTTGGCTTCCTTTCCAGGAGTACCTTGGATCACAATCAGGTCTTAACTACTACTTACTTGGTCTCACACACTCTCCAGAGAAGCAGAAGTGGAAGTGGATCAACAACATGGAACGTGACCCAGCCATGTGAGCTCCTTCCAGCAAGTCCCTGCCATGCAGTGTCTGGGAAGAGGAAAATGCCAAAGGCAGAGCAAAGAGCAGAGAGCCCAAGGGTGATCAGGGCCTGTGCTTTGGGGGAAGCTGATTGCTGGAGGTGCAGGTGCTTCAGCACATGGCTGTGCCAAGGAAAGGGAGCCTTGCAGGGCCAGGGAACACAGGGCTGTCCTGTAGGGATGGCAGGAGAGGACACAGCTGGAGTTTGCTGGGGAAGGAAGGATCTGGCTGGATGCAGCTCCCTGGGCAAAGGAAGGGGACAGGAGGCAGGGACAAGAGAGAGAGAGTGATGTCAGCACCATTGGCTGGAGGGGACCAAAGCAGGGGAATGTTTCTGGATGGGAAAGCATTGCCCAAAAACTTTTGTGGAGATGTGGGGAACAGCAGTGAGGAATGGGTGGGAATTCCAGCATGGCAGTTCCTGGTCCCAGTGACAGTAACACAGCTTAGCAGCTGCCACTCTGCCTTTCACTGCATGTCAGGAATGTAACCAAATTTGGCTTTTTTGCCCTATTCAGGTTCACTATCGTTGGACAGTTCCAAGACTATCTCTGCACAGTCATTGGACGTGGTGAAGTACGAGCTGCACCTTGTGGTGGAGACAAAACCATAAAAAATATGTGTGAAAAAGCTGCAACAATTTCAAAGATGCATCAGGAGGAGAGCTAAAACCAAGTGGTGCAGGCTGATCTGTGTTCTGCCCAGCTTCCTGTAGGAACCCGGGATGGGATGTGTCTCATTGCTCTTGAATTCCTGCCCAGTCTCTGCTCCCAGGCTCTCCTGCAGCCTCTCTCCAGCCTTGGGGCTGAGCTCAGCCCAACCTTTCCCTGCTGCTGTCTGAGCCTGGATGGGTCCCCTCTGGAAGAGCTGGCCCTGGCACCCAGGAGCACTCTGGCACTGCCTCATGCCAGAGGTGGCACTGCCAGGCAGGCACTGCCAGGGGAGAGGAGTCCAGCCTGGGCACAGGGGTGATCCCAACAGATCCTGCCTCTGCAGGTCACATCCATCCACAGCCCTGTGTTCCCAGCCCTGCCTGGGCACAAGGAGACCCTTCCCCACCTGGCCACAGCCTGGCCTTGCCTGCAGCCACAAGGGAAGGGCAGCTCACATTGCTGGCTGGGAGCCTGTAGGGAAGGGCAACCCTGCTCCTTGCCAGGATGGACAGGATAAATTCAGGTGTGGGTGTGGATAAACCTTCCCCTGTCCCAGACTGTTCCAAGAGCACACAGGATCCCAGAGCCTGTGGGGGGAATGGGAATCAGCCCAAGGGAAAGGATCCTACAGCAGCACAGCTCTGGGCATAAAATCAGCCCCAGTTCTGTGTGGGGAAGCAAGGAATGTCAGATTTACCATCTGCTGCCGAATGGCACAGGATGGAGACCAGCAGAGAGCAGCAAGGCCTGAAGAAGAGAGTCCCAACAGAAGCTGAGCTGGACAGCAAACAGGACAATGAAACCCACCGTGACCTGTGAAGGAGTTGGTGAGAAGCATGAGAGTGACCCACAGGGAATGGCAACACAGTGCTCTGCCCTCTTTTCCTTGGAGATTGGTCACAGGAGGAAATGATGCCTGAAGGCTTTTCCTGCTCAGAAATGTTCAAGCCAACAGTAGAAACAGGTGGCACCAGGAAAACAGAGCTGTGATCAGGAAAGAGGGAATATCACCTAAACTCTGTCTGTGTTCTTCAGTGGCTCTTGGGACCCTGGGCCTTGTGTGACTCCAAGAATAATTCTTCTTGCTGAGTCCTTTAGGCAGAATCATTCCTCCTTTATCGGTGCCTTTCATGGCTCTGTCCTTCAGCTGCAGGGTGGAGAAAGCTGTGTGAAATCCATGACACTCATAGCCTGGTTTACCTCTGGGGAAAAAAAAAAAAAGTTCAATCAAAAAATCTATACACAGCATGCTGTGGCCATTGGAAGGCAAAATGGAATCCTACAGGAAAAACTATCTCTTTCTAAATTGAAAGCACATTTTGATGTCCCTCACACCAACCATCCTCCTCACTGGCTGCTTGCATCAAGATGCTTTGGAAATGTATTTGCAGTTCTTTCCCTGAATTTCCATCTCCAAAGAACAGAGTAAGAACCTGGAGCTGTAGCAGAACAATCCCAGTGTCAGACCTCCAAGATCTGTACTGTTATTCCAGAAGGAAGCTGCGCTGGAGGGGCTCTTTGCTTGCGCTCATTTTACTGGAGAGGGTGGGAGACCATTCTATGTTGTGTTATAGATTTTTGCCTTCTATTTTCATCTTCCAGCTCCTGTGATCTCTTGGATCAAGTGGGCTCTCCTGAAGGCTGGGCCAGGGAAAAGCCTCTTCCCTGGGAGCCACTGGCCCTCAGTTGGAGCCTTCAGCAGGCAGCAGAGGCAGCAGCTGTGCACCAGAGGGGTGGGAAGAGGAAGCCACCCTGGGTCCACTGTGGAACTGCACAAGCCCCATCAAACCCAGAAAGCCACAGGAAGTCTCAGGACTCAGGAGCAACTGCACAAATCCCATCAAACCCAGAAAGCCACAGGAAGTCTCAGGACTCAGGAGCAAATACAGCTTGCAAGGAAATCCCTACCAAGGGCAGAAGTTTAAATGAAAGTGCTTTGTTTCCTCTGCCTGTGTGTTGTTCACAATTCGCTGATCTTGTGAGCTAAGTTTTACAATAAACTTCCACTTTACAGCTTATGATTCTTGGATTACCTCTGGCATCCCTACTGCAAGGGAAGGGTGAAACATTTCCTCCTTACTCTGGTGTGGTCAGAGTCTAATCCTGATGCCAAGGCCAAGCAATCCCTAAGCAATCCCAGTGTGACCTCTCGCTCCTTCCATGCTCAGTGCCTCAGGGAATGCCTGGCTGGTTCAATTCTTGCTGCAGCTGGGCAATGGGTGACACTCCCTGGGACAGGCCAGGCTGGCAGCACCAGCCACAGAGGGGCACATCCTGGACCCAGGACTGGCTCCTTTAGTGAACTTTATCAAGGAGAACCTGTGACAGGGACACCTCCAAGAGCTGATCCTTGGGGCTCACCCTACTTCTATGGACCTGTATCCCAACTGTGTCTCAAGCCAGCTGTGGTGTTTAGGATACACTTGGTGGAAAAAAATGCTCTGAGTATCTTGGCAAAAATCACAACCAAGGGATTTTGATTTTATTGTAGGAGAAAACAGTGAATGAAGGCAAGGTTCTTAAAAGAAACCACTCCAAACCATTAAAAAGTCCAGAAGCTGTTGCACAGAAGTAACTAAGCAGAGACAGACATGAATAGACATCTCAGAGACAAGTGATACTTTATGTAAACAAAAGAAGTTCATGCAGTATTGCACATGCAAACAATTTTATCTGGTTCTAAATGACAACTGTACCAACAAAAGAAATGGCTCTCACCGCCAAATGGGCAGTTCAGGGAGGCTTCACTGCCAATGCGGACTTGCTGTCAGAACAGCAAGCAGGGTTCAGGGTGCACAAAGAACACCTTAAAGGTAGCACTGACAGTGTTACAGAGCTTGCAGCAATCACTGGCAGATTGGGTTCCTTTTTAGCACACACTGGACTTTCTGGAACCATTTTGGGTTTGTGGCAGCAAAGGCTTCAAATGGGGAGTGACTTTTCAAGGTGCTAAGTGTGGTGTTTGCTTTGTGGTGAACCACAAATTATCTGTAGAGGAATTCTGTTCTTTCTTGGGAAGTGGCCCATGGGAATCTCATGGGATTTAATAGGACCAAGTGTTGGTGCTGCACCTGGGTGAAGGCAGCCCCTGGGATCAATCCAGGCAGGGGATGAGCAGAGGGAGCAGCCCTGGCAGAAGGACTTGGGGCTGCTGTGGGTGAGAGCTGACCCTGCCCCAACCCAGAGCCCCCCTGTGCTGGGCTGCACCCAGAGCCCCAGGGCAGCAGGGCAGGGGGGATTCTGCCCCTCTGCCCCTCTCTGCTGAGCCCCCTCTGCAGAGCTGCATCCAGCCCTGGGCCCAGCACAGGAAGCACAGGGAGCTGCTGGAGCCAGGCCAGAGCAGGGACACCAAGGGGATCAGAGGGATGGAGCAGCTCTGCTGGGAGGAAAGGCTGAGGGAATTGGGATTGTTCAGCCTGGAGAGGAGAAGGCTTTGGGGTGACCTCATTGTGGCCTTCCAGTGCCTGAAGGGAGCTTGTGAAAAAAGAAGGAGAGAGATTTTTTACATGAGCAGATAGTGACAGGACAAGAGCGAACAGTTTTGAACTAAAATAGAAAAGATTTAAAGCAGATATTAGGAAAAATACTCAGGGGGTTGCTGAGGCCCTGGCACTGGTTTTCCAGAGAAGCGGTGGCTGCCCCTGGATCCCTGGCACTGTCCAAGGCCAGGCTGGATGGGGCTCTGAGCAATCTGGGACAGTGGAAGCTGTCTCTGCCCATGGCAGAAGGGTTGGAGTTGGATAAAGTCTATTCCAATCCAAACCATTCCATGATTCTATGAGTGACAAAAGGTAATCAAGGATTATTTGGGGTAGCAGCAGGCAGGTGGCAGCACCACAGGATCCAACTCTGCCTTTTCAAGTCAGTCCCATGAAAGCCCTCTTGTACAATGCCATGTTTTTCCTTAGAATGTTTGCATTTTTATCCCTACATCATGGCAATATTTTAAAGTAACTTTCCAGTGATTCACTTTGGAGGGTATTTCTGCCTTTAGCCTTCAAGAAATTCCTATCTTGTTAACCAACTTCTATTTTACGAATTGTCTGGAGGCTTCTTAGCCAAACTGATCAGGGAAAGTGAAGATAAAGGTGAGTGTCTCAGTTACAAGCATCTGGGGTTAATAACAGTAGGTTTGGAGGTCAGATGATTCACAGCTATGTTGACAGCATTTCTCAGGTTTTTTTTGCCAGCCTGGAGAATCTCCTGCAGCTGTGAGAATTACCTTCTGTACTTGTGGGTGAGCATGAAGGGAGTGCTCACTTCTGAATGCTCTGTGGTTAAAAGCCACAATGCTATTTTTGACCTCAGTGACAGGCAGGACTGAATGGCAGGAGCCCAAGCCACTCCTTCAGAGCCAATAAATGCTGAATAAGCTGTTCTTTGAATGCCAGCTGTGCACACACCAATGCTCCACTGTCTCCTTGCATGTAAAACATGCTCTACATCAAGCAGGTACTGAACCTCCCTGCTGCCCTAATTCCACACCCCCCTCTCATCCTCTGCCCCTCTGGATTCATGTCTTGCAAAACCTCTGGAAAAGTTTCCAGCTTGTGCTCTCTGGACCCATCACCTCTTCTCTCCTGGGGATCCTCAGTTCCCAAGACTCCCTGAAGCCACCATGCCTTA